AAACTGCAACTTCAATAACTACCAAACTGCTTACCAAAATATCGCAAAAAATATATAATCATATATGGAAACCATATGCTACTAAATTAGCACAATAGAAAAAAAACAACATTACATCAAATAACAGATCTACAACTTACAGAAGATCTTATAACTACTCTAACCGACATCGCAACTTATACTATACAGTCTGCCAACTGTGTGGTTTGTCTAACCAACTCTATACAGAAGATAACAACTACTCACCACTAGGAAACACACTTTGTAAAATTAACCTTTGGTCTGTATACTGGATACTATATAGCTACCTTACAAACAATATCTTATATTATCAAATCTAGATGAGTTTTAACTACTCTAATAGGTTTAGGTTGCAGATAAATTAGATAGAAATCTGTCTATAGTCTGAGCTCTATTCTTGTAATATATTTGTAATTTATATTCAAAAAAGCCTCTGAAGGCTTCTTTAACAAATCAATAAAGATATGAGCAAAACCTTACCATAAAATAAAAATAAAAAAAAAAAAAAAAAAAAAAAGCTCAATTTATACATATGTTTTTAACATTTCAAAATAAAAACTATAAAAACAGCAAAAAACCTTGTAAAAAGAAATAACTATGCTACTACACTCAATATTCAGGATGCTTTTTATTATATACCATTATTATATTTTTCATAGCAATATTTTGTCTTCAATACTAGAAACAGAAGATTTTAGTTTATATGCTTTCTCTTCGGTCTGACACCAAGTCCAAGAATTTTTACAAAGATGTTAAAGCCAATATTAATCTAAGCCAAAAGCCAAGAAATTAGAATTACAGCTTATTTAGACAATTTACTTATCTTGGCAAAGTCAAAAATACTAGTGAACAAGCATATAAGACTTGTTATGAACAAACTATCAAAGTTGAGTTTCCAAGTGAATATGAAAAAATTCAGTTATCTTAAACTCAAATAATTAATTTTTTAGGCTTTACAATAAACTCAAAACAAATACTATTTCACTTCTGAAGTCAAAAATAATAAATATAAGAAGAGAATACAAAATAGTATTAAAGCATCCAAACATGTATATAAAAAAGCTTATTTCATTAATTAAGAAAATTTCAGCAACTGCTAGCACAATTTTTCTAACAAGACTGAAAAAGAAAGCCCTGATAAAGATCAAAAATCTAACACTAAACAAAAAGAATGAAATTGCAACTTGATTCTATCCAAACAAAGTCTGAAACAACTTTAGTAATAATTGATAAATTTAGAAAAATAAAATAAAACAAGCTTAATTTCTGATATACTAATAACAATAATATAACAGATGCTTTTTTTCAAAAATAAGATGCAGTTAGGGACAGTTGGACCATTTATGATCACTGAATAAAGGAACAAAGAAAATTGTATATAAATATCTTAAAACTAAAAGCAATTTATTATGTCTTTTAGCTTTTAGAGATATTCAAAATTAGATAGTAATAATAAAATCAGACAGTTTGACAGCAGTCTTATATATAAACAATCAAAAAGGCACTTTGTTATATATACTAAGCATATTAGCAGAAAAAATATGGAACATTTGCCTCTAACAGAACATAAAACCTATACCTCAACATATTCTTGGCATAAACAACAAACAAGCAGATACTGCCTTAAGACAAATGATAACCTGTCACAACTAGATGCTAAACCTATCAATATTTAGAATTCTCAATTAGAAATAGGAACCTTTTAAAATAGACCTGTTCATGAATATAATAAACACTTAACTCCTACTTTATTATTCGAACTTTCTGATCCTATAGCCTTAGTGATAGATGCTTTAAAACAAGACTAGGATAGTTATATAAATTGAATAAACTCTTCTTAAATTATGGTTTCAAGAATCTTAAAGAAAGTAATAGAAGACCAGATGACTATTTGTATAATAATCCTCTTTTAAAGATTAGCAGCCTGGTTTCTTATGTTAATTAGCATGCTAATAGATTCTCTGATATTATTATCTCAGAAGAATCTATTTCAAATGTACTACTCTTAGAGAATAAGCCCTCTTTACAACCCAAAGTGGCAGATCTTTACCTGCTTAATATCAGATCAACTTTACAAAAGAAGAACTTTTCTGCAGAACTTATTGAAATGATAGAAAATTCAACTAATAAATCATCAAATAGTACAGTAAGAGCATTCATTAAAAAATAGTATTTTTTTTTTTTTTTTTTTTTTTTTTTTGCAAAGGCCATACTTGTGGCAATACTTTATTGACTTTATATTGGGTTAGCTATTACAACTATTTTTTACAGAGATGAGAGTATAGCTAGTCACACATGCAACTTTTGGTTGCCTATTTAAGT